GGATTTTCTTTCAACACCATAACTAATGCAGGAGACTAGTCATTGAGGATTATTTTAGCATCAGTGGGCTATAGATTTAGAAGTCTTATAAATAAAAGCAGAAAACAATATTGTGATGCAGAAAGGATTTTATTGGAACTGACAAATGAGATTTATCAGACCACAGGAATACTGCAGGGAACAACCCAGAGTTGTTAAATTTACACATAAAACAAAGTGAAAAGGGCACACAGCCAGAACATAGTGAGCAGAGATCTATTATACAGAGGAAACTGATATTGTGGACTTGTTTCTCAGGATGGATGAAGGTGTCCTGTTACTGAGAATTCTCACTGCCTCTTTAAAAGCCACATCCCTCTGCTTGCTCATGAGCTCTTGTTTTGGTTTTGCTTCGGCTGGGTCTTGCTATCCTGGGAAATCTTGCCAGACTTAGCAGAGTGGTATATCCCATAGCTGCGGGAGTAGCAGGGATAGGAGTACCTGCCACCCAGGGAGGTGCCAGACCCAAAGGAGCTCTGCACATCCTGGGAGCTCCCATACCCAAAGGAGCTGCCTATCTCCAGTGGGGATGAGCTGCCCACGATGCTCTCCTGAGGGCAGGAACTGAGGATGGGGCCTGGGAAGACAATGGCCACGGGTGGTGGGTAGACCACAGCACGGGAGTCCCCACAGGAGGTGACGCAGGGCTCATTGCTCCAGGCATTGGCATATGGTGCGGGGCAGCTCACATCACAGGGTGAGAAGTTGCTGTAGTTGCAGACCTGTCCATTGAAAGACATCTTTCTGTCTGGAAGTAAACCTGAAACACAGAGGGTGGGAGAGCATGGGTGAAGGGTGACAGTGCAGGTGTGCTTGCAAAAGGGAACCTTCATTTATTCAAAGCAGTGATAGTGAAGAACACATTCAGAGAGCAACTGCCACAGGAATATCTGGTGAGAGTTAGAGATGAAAAAGACAAAATGCATTTTACTCTATTATAGAATATAGAATATAAAATATAGAAAATAGAATCTATTTTCTATTACTCTATTTCATATCTTGAAATATTTGTCACAGCATTCCTTAAACTGAATTTCTTAGAAGTACATTGAACTGATGTATTAGCTCAAACTCCCCCCTGCCCCAGAATGTGACTTACTTGGTTGAACAGCAGAAGTGGAAGGAGTCTCGAAGAGAAGTGGTTTGAAGACACTGGGCTACAGGTGCTTTTATACAGCTTCTTGGTTTGCCCTAGGGGAATTGAACGATTCTTTTCCTCATTTGTATTCATTGTCCCTCAAATAGACCTGTTTGTCACTCAGTCAAGGTAATTGCTGTCCATATTGTTTCTCTTAACTCACTCCACCTCAGATGGCTTTTCATCATTGGTATGATGCACGTAGACTTGCATGTCAAACAGAGGATTTCCCATCTTAGTTATAACTCAGTTCTACTGAGGACAGAAGGAGATCAAGATTTATTTGCTATGAATCTGCAAATTAATTTGTCAAATTATCTTAGTTTATTATAACTTAACTGGTATCTCTATATGAGTTGGCCATATATTAGTGTTTGCTTAATTTTTACACTGTTATAAATACTAAGCCAGAGCTGGTGATTGGATGTCTCAGACCTTTGTCCAAAGCCACAGTATTCTGTTTAATCCTTCTACTACTTTTTCAGCTTAACTTTTCTGCTTTCTACAGGAATTCATTTAGAGAGAAAGAAAACTTGAAGTTTTGAAGGAATAATTTTAAATCCTTTTAAATGTCAGAGTCCATATTCAGCATTTGACTGTTAGCTACAAATTGCCAGAACTGAGTACTGCAAAATGGGGTACTAGATATGCCCTGTTTAAATGGAAGGTTTTAATTTTGACATGTGAAACACAGAAATTAATACCCAGCTCTCAGCTAATGTAACTGGGTTTAGAACCAAGGCAGAGGCACATGGTTTAGTGGTGGTCTTAGCAGTCCTGGTGTAATGGTTGGTCTTGATGATTTTAAAGACCTTTCCGAACATAGTTGATTCTATGACTATCATCATGATCATCCTTGACTTAAAGGATTACCTGTACTAATCCTAAAGAATTCATACACCAACATGTATTGCTTACTTTATTTAGAAACAGAAGTGTAGAAATAATATGGTTAAATCTCAGAAACCTGTGTTAGCCATCAGGTACTTGTCCTATTATTTTTCTGGGCTGAGACATACCAGAGTCTGTCTCAGTTATGTTCAGAGTACTAATGGCACAGCCTTAATTTCCTGTAAATGTGTTGCACAGACATGAATTTTTCTTCCCGTCATGTCTTGGAGATGGACAATCTCCTGTTTTGTTTCTTACAGTTCTCCAAACATTTATCTTTGACTCAGTGTCACCAGTGCAGGAGATAAAAGAAGGAGGACTTGGTATGCTGGGTGCCTCAGTCTTTTAATAATCCCTTTAAGAAGGCTACAATAAAAATTACTCAGTTCCTTTGGGTGTTGTACAAATGAGTGGCTGCTTATAAAGCAGTGGAAAAGCAAGGGGTTTATATTCTCTTGATATATAAAAAGACTGAGATTGAGAAATAAGGCTGCATGTATTAATGGGCAGAAACTAAACTGGTGTGATCACAAAACAAACATGATTTCCAGGGAAGGAGTTAAAAAGGGCACTGTAAACTGAGACTGTTTATGAAGTCTGAGAAGGAAAACTACTGTGTGAAGATGAAGAAAGGTAATGGTTCAGAAGTGGTTTGGAGGAAAAGTAATCAGCACAGGTCAGGCACAATCTGGTCATTGCTTTCCTTTTAGAAGGACAACTGGTGGTCACTTCCAGTTGAGGAGACCTCTGCCTAGTGTAGACCTGGCCTCCTAAAGGTGCTGAGCCCACAAGATGTGCTAGAAACCAGGAAACACAAGTTTATTTTTTCCCACACCCCAATGCTCTGCTACCCTACCATGCTTCCACGACAGTAGGAACTGCAACTTGCCTCTGCATGCTCCTCAGACCTTCAAGTGTCATGGCAACATGGGTATATGTGCAACTTAAAGACTTGCAGATGGTCAGTTTTCACAGTCATTTCCATAGGGATGGAAATCTAAATACCTTGTAAAGCAGAGGAAAAAAATTGGAGATGTCCAGATTATAGATGTGGTTCACCATCCCTCATTCTTCCACCTTCCTTTTGAGATACACCCTAACTCAGACAACAGTTAATGTTGCATTGGCAACCTCGATTATCATACATCTGGCTTTTTAGGGATTTAATTCCAGAGGTATTTTACAGGACCAAAGAGAACATGTTGCAAGACTTAGAAAGTCCAGTATGAGGACTCCCCACTACTGCCTTCCAGGTCTGACAAATCCTGGGGTCATGAAACACATTTTGGTCATGAAACTCATTTAATTTAAACTGATATCATGGGTCACTGCATTCTTTAGGTGCACACCACACACATATTTTCATCTGATTTCTTCTGCTTCCAAATTAACCTTTCCCCTTTGCATTTTTCCCAGCAGGTAAAACACTGCTCTGTCCAAGCCCATGTAACACTCACATGAAATGGGCAATCACTGATGATGATTTCTAAAAGAGATGATTAAGACAGAGGCCAAACAATTTAGCAACATCTCTTAGCAATTAAGTGAGCCTCTGGGAGGAGATCTCGGGCATGTCTTGTACTTGTTAGTGTTATTATTTATAATTATAATTCTAATTCTATTATCTTTCAGCTTATGTAAATGAGGTTGTCACCCAGAAACCATGAAAATAGAGAGCTCAGATAGTCACTGCTGCCAGGAACCAGTAAATGAAACCAAGTAGTTTTAGGTATGTTGAAAGGAAGGATTACTATCCCCTCACTCACTGCAGAGTGACAGCCTCCTGCATTGAGTGCAGAGGGGCAGGTTGGATTTGCCCCAGTGCACACAAGGCAATGGGGGCCATCCAGAAACTTCTCCCCAAGTTCTTGCCAAAAGTTATGCTGAAAATGTGCTCAAGACCACCATGCCTTAACCCAGACATCTTTAACCTGCCCTGCTTCTAGGCTTGATGTTACTTTGTTTTCCACGTTTTACTTTCCCTAGTAGGTTCAGGAGCAAGACCAGGATAATGTCTCTGTTTATAATAAATGGCAAAGAAAACAGGATATCCATGCTATCTGATAAATCCACAGGAGGTCAGATAACAGCTCATTGTGGGGCAGGAGCATGGTCCCTTAAATGAGTTTTTCTGTCAAACATCATGTAATCTAATTCAGCTCTCCAGTCACTAAATGCTGTAAACAATACTTTTGACACATAAATTCTTTAAGATCATCATATTGATATGTAGGTGCAGGAAGACCCCCGTGTTTGATCACTCACTTTCATCTGTAGTCTGTTACATCAGGTAAGGAGCTGGATACAGTTTTCCAGTTGTAAATGTTGCAAACTCCTGTATGGGGCGAGACCAAGATCCATCCTCTGAAAGGTCCAACTTCATGTTTCAACACAAGTTCTTAGAAGCAGTACATTTTGGATTTACTTGTGCATGAGACTACTTCCTTCACAGCAATCCTAAGCAAGGGTTTTCTTGCCCTTTCTCATAATGTTTTTAACTAGGCAATGTACAATAATATTCATCAGGAATTAAGTGAGATAGGAAGACCTGCAGCATATGAGCCCTCTTTCCTCTCTTCACCACCCCTTCAAAATCGATTGTAGTAACTCAATACTAACATCAGAAAGGCCCTTACATCACAGAGCTGCTTTTCTGTAGCTGTGATCACTATTAACTGAAGCATCTGAGGGCTGTATCTATAGACTTCTATTTTATTTTTACCTAGGATGGAAAAAGAGAGTAAGGATAAACGGTGAGCAGAAATGTACATTCCCAAGGTGGTATAAAAGTCTCTAAGTTCCATTTCTCTTTGCAACTAACAGGTTTGAAATCTTTTACACCAAGCATGACAAAATCAGTACATCATCTAAAAAATGAGTCTATTTTGTCAAATCAGCAATCTTCTACTGGTCAAAGTTACGTGCTTTGAAGCTTGGAGAAGTGGAAGAAGGAAGTAAATGTCTGCAATGAGTAGAAAGAAACTAAGGGTGAACACTGCCTCTATTTTGAGATGAAAGCCTTCTGTAGGCTGCAAAATGGATGTGATACCGTTCAACTAATAATTGCTTAACTGCAAACAACACGCAAGCATCCCTCCACCCCTTTATGTGACAAATGCAGGAAAGTTTGTTTTGTAACTAGGAAGAGCTACATGCCTGAAGTGTGGCTCAGCCCCTGGAGCTGCTCTGAGGAATCCTATAAAAGAGCTTGGAGCACAGAGCTCTTCAAACTACTCTTCTTGGCTTTACCCTTGTGGCAAACTGAGTAAGTCTGACTTCAGTTATATCTGTTCTCTGAGTTAAAAAGCTAATTTAATAAGAACCTTAATGCAAATTTGTGTGAGCAGTTAATATATCTTTTGCTATTGGTGTAAGAATACTATTTTCATTAAAATAGATTCAGTGACCTCTTTCAGCTTGGCAGGCTTTGGAAAATATGGGATTTATATGGAGAACATGCAGCTTCAAGAGATTTTTGCATGTTTCAGAGAAAGAATGGCTATTGGTATTTGCTTATGCCTAAGAGTACTTTGCAAATGAAGACAATAGTTTTAGAAACAGTTTTAAACTGAGTAGTGCTAGGTTAATCCTCCTCTCTCCTTAATGAGTCTTTGCTGACTTCTAACAGGTTACCTAATAGTTATGATTTCTGCATATGAATTGCAATCAGACAGACATGCATCTTTCTTACCTCTAACTCTAACCGGATTTTCCTGTGGCACTTGCTCTCTGAATGTGTTCTTCACTATCACTGCTTTGAATAAATGAAGGTTCCCTTTTGCAAGCACACCTGCACTGTCACCCTTCACCCATGCTCTCCCACCCTCTGTGTTTCAGGTTTACTTCCAGACAGAAAGATGTCTTTCAATGGACAGGTCTGCAACTACAGCAACTTCTCACCCTGTGATGTGAGCTGCCCCGCACCATATGCCAATGCCTGGAGCAATGAGCCCTGCGTCACCTCCTGTGGGGACTCCCGTGCTGTGGTCTACCCACCACCCGTGACCATTGTCTTCCCAGGCCCCATCCTCAGTTCCTGCCCTCAGGAGAGCATCGTGGGCAGCTCATCCCCACTGGAGATAGGCAGCTCCTTTGGGTATGGGAGCTCCCAGGATGTGCAGAGCTCCTTTCAGTCTGGCACCTCCCTGGGTGGCAGGTACTCCTATCCCTGCTATTCCCGCAGGTACACGACTTACCGTAGTGGGAGCTGTGGGCCCTGCTAAGCACTGCAAGGGTGCCCTGGGGAGCTGGACCCAGCAGGGACCAGAGTAAATTCCTAGTCCATGAGTGAGCAGAGGGACATGGCTTTCAGAGGGGCAATGTACCAGGCTGCAGCAGGGGTTCTGAGTAACTGGGCACACTCATCTACCCTGAGAAACAAACCTAGACATCGTATTTCCCCTCCTATTGGATCAGGTATCTGCTAAGAAGATCCCAGCTCTGAGAAAAACAGAAAAGGCCTTAGCTGAAATTCTAATTTTCAGAAAAAGAGAACAAAAAAACTGCCGAGCAAACTGTTGTGGTGAAAACCCAACTCATTTTTCAAATGCTGCAAATGCAACAAAGACAGAAGATCATCTTACAAACTGCAGCCCCCAAAGAAGACAACCACATCTACCTTGAGCTAACCCTGCAAAAATATTCTGTTCCCTCTGCATTGCTATGTTCTGCTGCAATGAAGTCCTTGCCCTGTTTCAATTAAAGTTTATATTCCCTTACATTTGCCTTCTGGCTTTCTTTCCTCCTTGTCTTAAAACTATTGGACAGTGATGCTAAAGTGATGCTTCATTTGAGTCATGTCCTGATTGGTGGTTTGTGTGCTGTCCACAAAATGTGGACATCCTTAAAATCTTTTGTAAGGATTCATCACAAAAAGGGGAGGATTAAACAATCACACTAAACTTGGATCAGAGGTTGCCTTTATACTTCTGGTAGCTTACAGAGGAAAAAGTTGCTCACAGTGGACACTTTTGTATAGGCAACAATTCAGGGAGTAACAGTGAAGCTTTACACTAATACAAAGATGTAACAGAAGAATAAGCCAAATCACACTTACTTGATCCACTGAAGAGAGAGTTAGGAGATAGAGGTAAAAAGCCTTTGGCTGTGAGTACTTTAACTGTCTGGAGGCTAGAGGATCTATCTGTTAGTAATGACCTGATTTACTTGTAAATCAGGTGCTCTTACTTGGATCATTCCTTCAACTGCTGTAATTACCTTTCTTAGGGTTAGTTTTTAGGTCTGAGCCCCACACAGTGCATTATCCATCTGATACTTGACTTAGGCTGTTTCTGATCTCATAACAGACAACAAAAAGTTTCTTTTCCAAGCAAAATTCATTAGATTTTGAAAAATTTTCCAACCAAAATTCTTTGGTTAATGTGTTGAAGAAAGCCAAGTCCTCCAGCTGGAAGCAGAGTTTGGAGGCTGAATAAATCTGTGGACTCTATGAAGAATTGCAACTTCTTTACACAATGCAAATTTATCACTGGAAAGGGAAGCCTTATATTATTTGTGTTGTATATGTTTAATTAAGAGAGCTTCATTTAGCACACTGCTTGACTGGTTTTCAAACTTTTTTTTAAACATCATAAACCCAGATTTTATGTAGGGTAACCCTCTGGGGCATCTTTTCAATTGACAGATTAAATATATACCATGCAAAAACCAGAAGGATCATAAATTTAAGACTTTGATTTTAATATAACAGAGAAAAATTTTTTCCATGACAAAGCAAATAACTTTGACCTGCAGAGCTATGAAGGACCTGTTCAGGAAGAGGTTGAGGTTGTGTTTTAAGGTGAAACTATTACGCATTATCAAGACCTAAAACTGCAGCAATGTCATTAATTTTATTACAGTTGAACTCTTATCTACAACACATTCAGCACACAGTAATGCTTTGAAGTTCTATATTCTGTGGAAAAAAGTAGAACAGTCCACATAAGTGCAGCCTAGATCTTCCTCATAACCATCCCACATAATTTAATCATAATCTTTGCTATAAAGGATGGGTTTTAAATTGTTAAGGGTGTAAACAAGCATGAAACACAAATGAACTACAGTACAGTAAGGCATGTTCCTGGTGCCCAGCCTAAACACAAGACACAAAACATCTTGCCAAACCAAATGCCAGTTCAGAAAGCTGTATTATCCCAGCCATTAGGGTCAGCAGTTCAGCTCACAGCCATCATGGCAATGGACCTTATCCAAAGGTTGGGGGAGAAGACAAGAGAGCTTGTGTCTGGAGAATGAAAAGCCTCTGCCAAGTCTAATGGAATGTGCTCCTGCCCATAGCAGTGGGTTGGAACTGAATGATCTTTAAGGTCCCTTCCAACCCAACCCATTCTGTGATTCTATGGTTATCACAACCAAAGCCTCTGTGAGTGTAATTTTGCAAACCAAAACATCTGTGGGTTTGCTTCACCCTTTCTCCTTATCTCACAGGGGTGTTGCCTTCAGCCAGCCCCAAAGTAGATGACGATAGTGTGCTGTGCCAATTGTGTTAACCTCACCAATTACAAGCATCTAAGCTACCAGCTACTTCCCTGGGCTCATTCCTGTGGTGATCACCCGAGAAACTGAAGTAACCAAATCACCCACCATAGCAGGCAGAGATCTTTACAAGGGCAGAAGCTTTGAGGGTGATATGTTGATTTAAACCCTGTCAATCTGGTTAACAAGTGGTCGTTGCAGCCATTGGCAAGAGTGGCACATTCCTCAAAAAAAGGCAGAAAAGCAGCCAGAGATTGGAATTCCCAAATCCTCTTTTCCTGTGGACAACAAAGGAAGTCTAGCTGGCTGGCTTAGTCCTAAATTCAGTGCCTAAAACAAATCTCTCCTTCATTTTGCCTCACTTTGCACAGAACGACTTCTTTGAGGGAGGGAGAGTTGAGTCTCTGTAAGCCTGGAACATGCAGCAAGGAGCTGTAATGATAAATCACTAAAAATAATGGCCAGGAGTGAGTGAATTCCTGACCATTCTTCAACACGGTTGACACCCTTGTGGGGAATCAGCAGAAAATTCCAGACTAGCATTTATGGACTCGTTATCTTATTATGTAGCCCATAAATTACAGTAGCTGTTAGATGCTTCAGTTATATTGGACACCCTAAAGGGACAGATACTGCACAAATGCAGGCCTTGAGGTGTTGCCTTTCCTACGGTTTTGCCATATAAACATAAAATAATAGCATACAAAACTGCAGGGGTGTTAACTCTAACTGTGATAGTTAGAGTTAACAATTAATAGGTGTAAAACCATCAGTGGCTGTTAAGAAACAATGCTCATGCTAATCCTTTTAAAGCTGACTTCAACAGCATTAGCAGTGCATTTACTAACATTTACTATCCTCTGGTCAGTAGTTTGGTCTCCAGCACTTAGGATTCAGCAGCAATAAGAAATTAATAATTTATAGCATGAAAATACAACTTTAGGGATGAGTTTTCAGTAGCTTTGTTGATGGGTTGCTGACTGCTGCCAGGGCAAACTGAAGTTGGTTTAAAATGGGCAGTGTGCATTGTCCTTCTAGATCAAACCAAGTCAGGTCTTTCTTCCTGATCTCCAACTTGCCTTGGATGCACATTGATGCACAGCTCTGGCTCAGGATCTGAGGAGTGTCCTGGCACACACTCGTAGCTGAAGTTAGACTCTCACTGTGTATGTCATCAAAAGCTTCTAAAGAGAGCCAGAGTTGATGAACTGTGTAATAAAACTTTGTGGTTTTTTTTTTTTTTCCTTCCAAACACCCATCAATTAAACTGAATAGCCATCACTGAGATGGATCCCAAGCTGTCATTATCAGGAGACTTTAGTCACTGACTATCTCACAGCTCTTTCCCGTTCCTCATCCCATTCCCAGGAAGCTAAATGGGCTTCCTAGCCCAGCTTCAGGAAACACCAGTGCCAGAGCAACAAACACCCTGGCACTACCCTCCCTCAAGTGCTAGGTAAAAGTGAAATAATATGTCAGATCATCCTCCAGGCAGCAGCTTCTTCCACACCAGTGCTGGCTTCTCGCCATAGCCACACTCTCAGCTGTGTGCACAGGTGAGGGATTGGCCCATTGAGCTGGAGAAAAGCCCCAGAACAAAGTCAGACCATCAATTCTAAGGCTTTCAGTCATAACCTCCTTGGGGAAGCAGAACCGGTGGTGTGTTTTAGTGTGGAATGATTAGTCAACACTTGGGCATCTTACTCCAGCAATTACCAGGATGGTAATAAGCTGGCACATCACTGCAGTCAGAGAACCATCATTGTTAATATCTCCTGAAATGCCTGTTCTGAGCAAGCCCAGGTCTTTCCCAGGCTGTTGCTCCAGGGATCTCCGTTATGACTCACCATAATCTGGAGATCATTTTGACACACTGGCAGCAAACAGAAAAACATGAGTGGATTAAAAGCAGAAACACAAATATTCTTTATGGCAAAAAGTGCTGAATAATTCCATGACCCAGAGCGCCATCCTGACCTTTTCTGATGAAGTGCAGGCACCATTACCATGAACTTTGTCACTGTCCTGGCTTCTCCACATTAATGACATTGTGCCTTTTTCTCTGTCCACAAATAGGCTTTGATCTGCCTGGGGGGGGGACGTGTTGTGGTTAGATATGATTTTTGATGCTGTTCAGCTCCAGATGTGTATGTTCAAAGGAATATTTTCAAGTTAAGTCTCTCTGGCTTCCTTATTTTGGTGTATGTCTATCATTTATGCCACTTTGACTACTGAAGGCTGGCTTAGAATTGTTACAGGGAGAGAATAGTAACTTGAACGATGGAAGGATCTAACTCTTCTGTACCACCTTTCAAAAATGACATCTTTTGGATTATTAGCATGTCTTACTGACTCAAGTTTTGGAAACTAAAGAGTATTGCATTGAAAATCTGCAGGGCTGATTCATGTGCAAAGTTTAAATCTCAATGTGGGATATGGCATTGTGCCCAAATGTGTGGCAAAACATTCCCGACTGCTTACTCAGAATTGAATAATTGCTGATACTTGTCAATCTTCTTAATACATTTACAGTATTGTCCTTTGTATTGTATTTTATTGTAGCTGTTGTAAAGAACCACCATAGGCATGAGTATTGCTCACTGAGTTTATTGTTCAGGCCTAGGTAACCCTAAAAAGGAGCGACAAGAAAGTGAAGGCTTCTGCACTCACTCCATGGGGCCCCACACAGATTCACAGGGCTCAGATTGTCTGAACATGTGATATTTATTAAACTGTTTTGAAAGTTTGCTGCTTACTGAATGTCCCTACCACACCTGTAAATAGGATTTTCTCCTCTCAACTATCTTTTTTCTTTCCTTACCTCATTTTTTATGCTGTCACACTAAACCTGTCTGTTATTTCATGCATATCAGGCAGTCAAACATTAAAACTTCAGTGTGGTGTTTAGGAAATACTGTAATTTATGTTAGAAGTTTTAAAACATGACAACAGCTGAGTCTAATCCAACCACCT